CCTTGATTTATAGTTACATACACCGATTTACGACATGAAATAAATATGCTTTTGAACTGGATGCGACTTGGTGAGGATATCTGCAACTTGTTCATTTGTTCCATAATACTTCATTGTTATGGCTCCACTTGCTATAAGATCTCGAATGAAATGATAGCGTATCTCTATATGCTTCATTCTTCCATGAAACGTTGGATTCTTCGTCATTACAATTGTGGCTTTATTGTCACAAAATATTTCTGTTGGTTCTTTTTGTTCTTGATGAAGATCTTCAAGAAGTCTTCTAAGCCATATTGCTTGACAAGCTGCTGATGTTACAGATATATATTCTACTTCCGATGTTGATAACATAATTGTTGCTTGCTTTTTAGAACTCCAAGATATAGCTTCCGATCCGAGGCTAAAAATATTACCATAATCTATTGTTCCAACAATATAACGTTGAATTCTTTTAACAGCTCCGAGATTATGTTTGTTTGGGCTATGCATAAATCTGGATACTACAACAACAGAGAATGCAATATCTGGTTGAGTATGAGTTAGATATATACCTCTAACCAAACTTCTATAATATCTTGCGTTTGTCATATTTGTATCATCTTCAATTTTCAATTTCTCATTTACATTCATGGGTGTTGCTGTAGTTTTGTAATTAATTATGTTAGATTTTTTGAGTAGATCCATTGCACACTTTCTTTGTGAAATAAAAATTTCATCTGATCCTTCACTTCCAACCCAAGAAAATAGTGCAGTAGACCTAAGTTTGACATTTTAAAACTATTTATCATGTATTTTTTAAATTCTGCTGCAGAAGAATTAGATGAACCTATATATATAATATCATCAACATAGAGGCAAACCATTAGAATATTATGTTCATCTTCCTTCTTTAGATAAAGAGTAGATTTATTATTGCTCCTCTTAAATCCATTTTGAAGAAAATAATAATAATTTTACTGTACCATACCCTTAGAGCTTGTTTAAGCCCATAAAGAGCTTTTTTTAGCTTATACACCTTTTCTTCATGTCCTTTAACCAAAAACCTTCATGCAACAAAAATCTCTTCATGTAAATCTTCATTTAAAAATATAGATTTCACATCAAATTGACAAACAGGCCAACTCAAGTGAGCAGCTAAAGTCAATAAAGTTCTCATGGTTTCGAATCTAGCAATTGGAGAAAAAGTATCATCAAAATCAATACCTTGTTGCTGTGAATATCATTTTGCTACAAGCCGAGCCTTATGCTTTTGAATACTTCCATCTGCATCAAACTTTGCTTTTGAACACCCATTTTAATCCAATAGCTTTTTTTTCTTTCGGTAGATCCATTAGCTCCCAAGTTTCATTCTTCTCAATTGACTTGATTTCCTCCTTTATTGCTTTTCTCCATTCCTCATTTTCAACTGCTTCCTCAAAAGTTGTTGGATCTGAAATAAACAAAGCAAATGTTGAGTCATAAATTTCTATTAGTGATCTGAAATTTCTTGAAGGGGTTTCATCAAAGGAATCAAAATTTGAACTACTATTGGGTGAGGTTGGCGATGAACTTGTTGGAGCATGATCTGTCATTTGATTATGCAAAATGTCTAGTTCTGCTGGAATTTGCATTTGTATTACACCGGTCTCCCAATTCCAACTTGCCCTTTTAATTAATTATCTTATGCCTTATTTTGAGAAAAGAATTCATGAAAAGTGTATATATAAATAAAAGATTGTATTAAATAGTATCAAGTACATGGACCTTTGAATATGTACATAACCGTACAATGTTTGATATGTCTTACAAGATGCCGAGAGTGCGGACTAATTATAACTATATAAGGTCATGAATTCAGAGAGTGAGTTCCACCCTACCGTTGCAGTGATGAGTCTATTGATGGTAAAGGAAAAGAAGATGGATATGATAGATAGATAGATGATAATGAGAAGGACTTCAATGTACTAAAAAGAAGATGGATATGATAGATAGATAGATGATAATTTAAATATGAAATTATATTTGATACTTTTTTTTCAAAAATCACATTTGGTCTAGATGCTTATTAAAAATGCTAATATAATTTTTATATTAGCATTAGCATTGTAGTGTTTACAAAATACTAATATATTTTTTAATTTCTAAAATATCAAATTATCACTATATAATAGAAACTCTAACCATCATTTCATCTTTTATTTTTTGATTTTTATTACTATCAATAACATGAACTTAATTGAAATTATCTAAGTTGGCACCTTATCCATTCGTAAAGGATTAGCCTAATTATAATATTACTTAAGTATCAAAGAATTTATAAAAAAATAAATTGATTATTCTGAAAATAAATAATAGATAAGTCTCGATATATCACAAAGAGGACAATGTTAAAAGGAAAAACCTATGACTTTGAAAAATAAATGAATAATAATTACAAGTCCAAAAGCGACTTACGATTATTTATTTATTTTCAAATATTATTTTTATATTTATTTATATAATAATTATTAATTTTATTATATATTTAAGCCATAAAATTTTTTTATAAGATTACATACATTCATTTATTTATTTACTTATTAATTTATATATATATATATATATATATATATATATATATATA